GCTTTGAAGACATTGTTATTGCTATTAATCCAACGATACCTGAAGATGACAAAATTGTTACCAACATAAAGGTATGATAATTAGACATTTACGGATATATTAACTGTATAATACATTAAGAATTCTGCTAGCTATATAGTGGTAGAATCTATTTGTCTCTTGTAAATAATGAGGTAACTTCCAAGATGTGTGTGTGTTAGGGTGGACAGCTCCCTGTGTCAAGGGACTGGGCAATTCAAGACCAATTTGATGATAAGAAAAGAGACCTTTTCTGATTGGCATCCATTTGAATAGGCACGAATATCAACTGATAAACAAGCTAAAATATATTTGTTTAAATTGTAACTATAGCTGCCATTTTTATCTATTTCTATTGATCATGCGACTTGATTCTGTCTTACTGATTTAATTGTATCCTGCCTTTATTAGTTTTGCAAATAACTCAAGGCAATGAACATATTCAACACACCTTCCTCCTCCTATTTTCCCAACAACAACCCTGTAAGGTGCTGAGAAAGCGTGACTGGGCCAGTTGGTCATCCAGCTGGCTTTCATGACTAAAGAGGGACTAGAACTCACAGTCTCCTGCTTTCCTGTTTTTGTCCTTTTAGTAATGCTTTCCTCTTTGGTGATGTGTAAGTGTACCCCCTGCTTTTACTATGAAATTCCACCATTAATACTTATGAAACTCCAAAGAAATTCATAAACACTTCAACCAACTTGATTACTCATAATGCTGCCTTTATCATATGGACTTTGTGTTCCATTTTAAAAGTCTTCCACACTCAGATCAGGCTAATTGTTAACTAGTCTCCCTCCTTCACCTCTTTGAAGGAGAGATGAAGAAATCCTCCTTCATTTCATATAATTGTAATAATTTGATCTCTGGCACAATATATCATATAAGTGCTGGCCTTCCTCACCCTGATGTTTTTGAAGTTGAACTACAAGTCCTCCTTTTTAATCAATATGGCCAATGAACATGTTTACTGAGATTATGGGAACCATAATAGTTCATTACATCAGAAAGATATAAAAAAATGAGGAAAATTCATACAAATAAGCTGGAAGAAAAGTATTTTTCATATATTAAACAAGATTGTGAGCTTTAGCAAAATTTCACAGTTTAAGAATGTATGGTTATTAGAGAGTTTTATTTTTAATGGATCTTATTCACACACATTTAATTCTTTTTTTTATAATTTCTCAACATAGCAGATAGCCTCATCTGCTAATTTCCTGAATGTCAAGATTTTGTCAAGTGTTCAAGAAAAAAAAAAGAATACAGAAAGGACAAAAAAAGATACAACAACATAATTTGTGACTTTCAGATTCTGGAAAGTTGAGGTCTAGATAGAATCATCTGGGTATGTCTAGTTTAATGAAGAAAAGGATTGTTCCAATATCTCAGGGGTTGCCACAAAAAGGGAGTCAAGCTATTCTCCAAAGCACCTGGAGGCAGAACAAGAAGCAATGGATGGAAACTAATCAAGGAGAGAAGCAACCTAGAACTAAGGAGAAATTTCCTGACAGTCAGAACAATTAATCAGTGGAACAATGTACAGACTCCTAAACAGTAACTATTGACAGCTCCACAACAAAGTGAATATATTTGTATTTTGTGTTTCTATTAGGATATGGTTAAAGAAGCATCCAATTATCTCATCAGTGCTGCAGAACGAAGATTTTACTTTAAGTCTGTAAAAATTATAATTCCATTGACATGGACATCAAAACCAGAGTATAAAAGAGTAATAAGAGAATCCTACGAAAAAGTAAGTGGAGAATATTCCTCAAAAATATGTGATATTTTAGGAGACAGGAACTATAATATAGCTGCAGGTCTCTGATATTGTCTTTATAACTCAGTTGCCTTCTCCAATTGCAGTTGCTTTGAAAGGGTATTTGCCTTTTAAGAAGGGAGTCTGAAAGAGCTGGATATGTTTAATCTTCAGAAAAAATAACTGAGATAGAATATAGGATACTTTATAAATAAATAGGTGACAGATTTAGAAGGTAAAGAGCTTTTCACTCACTCTCTTTCTCATTCCAGAGGTCAGGACAGAGAATAATAGATTTAAGTTACAAAAAGACAGATTCTGACTATTAGTAAAAAAAATATGTAATAACAGTTCAACTATGCCGGCTTTATTCAGATTCTTGCACTGAAACTCAATAGCCTAAACAGGCCCTTCCAAATGGACGATTTTAAAATATTGCAACTGTGACATTTGCAGGGGTTATGAATCTAAAACTCCATACTTAAAGAAGGTTTGCAATTAAATCAATGTTAGCCCTACAAGGTGGACTAGACTAAGAAACAATGCCGTTAGGGTCAGGACTAGTTATATTCTAACATTTACAGTAACAGAATTTTGAAAGTCTGAATCTCCTCCTCCTCCTCCTCCTCCTCCTCCTCCTTGCAACCCAACTCAATGTGGCCCAGGCAAATCAAAGTTTGGACCTGCCTACCCAATACCCTCTGCAGTCAAAGAATGACAGAAAAGTTGTTACCTTCAAGTGAGCTTTATGCTCATTGCTGGAAAAAAACAATTTCTAAACTATATACACTAAAACTTAATTTAGTGGACCATTAAGGAAAGAGATATCCATTATTCCCAAAGATCTGCTAAATCCAAAAGTAGTTCTTTGGATGTATTTATATCACTTATATAATGATATAATTAAGCAACTGTTGTAATATTTACCATTTAGATAGTGACAACATTATAGGAATTGACACATAATATAATTTGTTTTTACTTTATATTGACATTATTAAGGTGAAATTAACTGAAATGTATCTGATTTATCTGAACTATTTGGGCTGTAACAGATTTTTCTGTTATTTTAAAAAGGAATGACATCTAAATGAAAATTTTACTCTTTTTCAAGTCTGCTAAATACTGGTCCACTAAATTAATGTTTTACTGTAATTCATGGGTGTCAAACTTGCTGCATCACATGACGTATTGCAACATATCGCAGTTTGACACCCCTGCTGTTATTTGTTTTTTTGTGATGTAAAGGGTCTTTCTTACAGTCTAACAAAGTGACTCTGTATTGCAAAGATGTTGCTGATATTGCTGAAAAATAACTGTTCACATCCCTAAATATTTCCCCTGCTAATTGTGGCTGCAAGGAATTATGAAGGACAATAGTTTCCTATCTCTGAATTGGTGCCTGAAATCAATAGAAGTTTTGAAACAGAAAAACCCAGACTTTTCTTGGCTTGTGTATAGACAAATTCAAGAGAGATGGCGAATCGATAAAAAGATTACTTTTTCCATGGAAGATGGGAATTTTTTGAAACAAGTAAGGGACGGTGCTAAAGGACACATTAGAAGGATATATAATGTTTTATTAGAACTGG